AACCTTCGCAAAACACCGCAAAACACACCACAAGCCTCACCGAATGTCTCCTTGCTACCGCTACCTCGCCCACAGGAAGCCGCGACCGCATGGCAGCAGGGAAAATGGCCGTGGATCTGGTTTGTAAGTCGAGGCGAGTTCATAACTCGAGGTAAAATTTCCCTGCCGAAGCTGGTCGTAACCCGAAATGTTCGTTAGTAGAGGCGTTCGTAACCCGAGGTACCACTGTACTAGAAGACCACAGGCTAATGGTTTATGTATGGCCTTATTGCTTGTTTGTTTATTACACCAATTTATATAGCCGCCCATCGCACCACAGGAGACTCTGGGTGGCATACAAGAGTACGGCATTCATACAATCACAGAGTTGGAAAAGACCATTTTGATCTTTTGATTATTTTGCAGTAATCAAAGTATTCCTGGCAGATGGTGATCTAGCCTTTGCTTGAAGACATGCACTGAAGAGGAGATTACCACCCCTAGTTCCACTGTTGAATTGCTGTTTAATGTAACCATTTTCTAGCATTCAATTGGAATCTGTTTTGAATTCACAACAAAAACCTAGACAGTAGCCAGCCCACATGGTTTTCTATCCATGTGGTTTTCTTGGTAAAGATACAGCAGTATTCATGTCCTTTTTGAGGTTCGACAACCAGAACTGTGCACAATATTCCAGATGCAGTTGCACCATTGATTTTTATAAGGACATTATGATATTGGCATCTCTATTTTCAATACTGTTTAATATCCCTAACATACTATTGGCCTTTTTTACAGTGGATGCACACTGTGCTGACACTTTGATTGAACTCTTTCAATTAAGTTTGTATGAGTAATTAGGATTTTTGACACCAATATGTATCACTTTACATTTGAATGACACCTGCCATTTTGATGCCCGCTCCCCAAATATGCAGAGATTCCTTTGGAGATCTTCCCAGTCCCTTATTTTTTTTACCACCCATAACAGTTTAGTGTCATCAGCAAACTTGACATTTTGGAACATTGGTGTTGGAGAAGACTCCTGACATTACCATGGACAGCCAAAAAAACAAACAAATGGATCATCATAATGGACATTAGCTCTCTGAAAAAGGTTCAAATACCAGGAAAGATGGAAGGAAAGAGAAGAAGCAGCAGCAAGATGTGTGGACTCAATTGCAGTGGCTGTGGGTATACCATTGGAGTACCTGAAGGACCAGGTTAGGGACAGAACATCATGGAGAAAATCTATCTATCCTTTGTAATTATCAAACCCATAAATCACAAGTTCATTTTTTTTTCCAGCAAAAAATTCATAAGGGGTTTCCAGTCATTAGTAAATGTAGTTATTGTCCTTTCTCTAATCAGACAAGTCAATTTTGCCATTTCTGATAATTCTGTCATCTTCACCAGCCATTCCTCCATTGTGGTATTTCATAGTCTTTCCATTTTTGTGCATATTATAATCTCGCAGCAGTTATCATATATAAAAACAACATATTAAAGTCTGCCAGTGTAGAGAGTAAGGAAGATGACCTTGACAGAGATAGGCCAGATTTGTTACCAAGATGACAAGGAGAAAAACACGGCCTAAATCGAAAACAAGCCGAAAGTATGCGTAAGTGGCTCAGACAGACACCTCCCTAATTCACATGGGTATAAGAGGAGGAGGCACAGCACAATCAGACTTGCAAGATTTATAGCAAATCTCAATAAAAGCCTTCCTGTGGAGTTGATTATGGTCTGGTGTATCTAGTGAGGCTGATAGCCAGTCAAGCCTTGGGGGTGCAGAGAAGACTATTCCATAAAGTGGGGGTCATAACCAAGAAACACTGCTTTCAGGACCCCAGTAATTTCATCTCGCTTATGTTGGGGGTAGATAACTTCCCCTATAGGACAGGATGGTCCTACCTGGGGAAGGCAGTCTTAAAGATACCTAGGAGCCAAATCACAAAGGTCAGAATCAACTCTGAATTGTACCTGGAAACCTACTGACCATCAGTTTAATACCTATGGTATTAGTGTAACATGTATGAAGCAGCTCTTACCCACCAGCATGTGGGCAGGTGCATTTTGCACCAATTATTATTTCTAAGTGTTCCTCAAAGATAGTCCAATGTACAGCACATTGCAATATTCCAACCTGGAGGTGATGAGAGTTTAAACTACCATTGCCAGGCCTTCTTATCCCATATATGGCTACAACTGGCACACTAATAGAAGTTGGGTAAAAGCCCCCTGGCTATATCTCTGCCTGACCAGACAGCAGCACCAGGAGTTCGGGAGTTTACCACTCCTCTTACAGGGATGGCTACAGTATTATCTCCAGAATCACAGGCAGTATGCTTCTAGATACCATTTGCAGGGGACACTGTCGGGAGGAGGTTATTACTCTCATGTCCTGTAGTATTTGATAGTGTCAGTTTGGCCACTATAGGAATAGTACTGATATAAGTATTGTTTGATCCAACATAATTATTCTTATACTTTTATTTTTAAAATGCTGTTGAAAGCATCTTCTTGTGCTGAAGTTGTTTAAAGTTTATTATAGTGAATATTACTGTGCTTGATTACAAGACTGGAAAAACCATTCTGTGACACCCATTATAGATGTACCATTTATATTCTTCCTTGAAAGCCCTATGGTCAGAAAGTTGGGACATATATCATAAAGATAAATAAATAAGTATGATAAATATTGGTGGGGGAAGAGAAGACTCCAGACAGATGGTAAATGTAGAGAAGAGGTTGGGTAAGAAGAGAATTTTATCACTGTGGCCTTAGATATATTTATTCTGGCCATTTAATACTATACAACTAAAATCCCACCTGACAAACTGAAGAATGGAAGAGAGCTTGTAAAAGCAGTTTTGAAAAGGAGGAAATAAATTAGACTAATCAAGACAAAATTATGAAGAGGATAAGAAAGAGCCATTAACTATGGCAGGAAGATAAGAATGTTGATCTATTACAAGAACTTAATGGTTGGGAGCCAAAAAAAAGCCTCAGTGGTTGTAAGCTATAAACACAAGCAGCAGGATGATAAGGTAACATATGAAATAAGCAATATGCAAAACCCCCTGTAGACAATTCGACCAATCAGTGAGACCCAGGCAAGAATCAGCAAAAATACAGAAAGGCTCTCAGGAGTGTAGTTGTTGTTTGTTTGTCTGTCTGTCTGTCTGTCTCTTTCTTTCTTTCTTTCTTTCTTTCTTTCTTTCTTTCTTTCTTTCTTTCTTTCTTTCTTTCTTTCTTTCTTTCTTTCTTTCTTTCTGTTTTGCTGCACTTAATTTAATGGGGCAACTGGAAATAGAATGTTAATAAGGACAGCCACAT